ACACGTGTGAAGTTACATGTTACAATTATATTTCAATTCTTTCCCTTTTAAAGATTTCAGATATATTCCGCTTCTTTCACCATTTATTCCTACTTTAATTAGAATCATGCGATTTTTTTCATATCGATACGCTTATCAATTATCAAACGCTATCGCGTTGTAATGCTTGTAATTCGCGTTCACGAACATTTAAAAGGTTTAATAAAGCGGAGTCGCGGCCACTTGTGAATGCGAGTATGAAACGTTTCACCAACATTTTTCGTGATATAAGCGAAGAAAAATGTATAATGCTGGGAAGATAGGAAATAACGGAGGTAGAAGAGAAAAGGGTTGTGAATTCAAAGCCCCTACGCTGCCGAGCGCTTCTTTGTTAATACCTACCGCGCATCGGGGCCTTCCTTTCTCTTCGCTACCCTTTTCATCCGCCACATTCTCTTTTCACTTTTCGATAAACGCGTTTCTACCCCGCTTCTACTCCTTCGCATCGGCCGCGACTACGGTTTTTACGTATCCGGCTTAATAAAACGTTCTGCGCCTCTTTCACCATTAGAGCATCTATCTATATGTAACTGCTTTTTTTCTAATGCATTTTTGTAATTTGTAACAAGCAGTTATATTTTTTTCTTAAAAACAATTGTATATTTTCTTCACACAAATTGATCTCTCTTATTATTTTGTGCATAAAAGTATCGAGGTATTGGAGGTAAGATAATAAAAAAATTAATATTTTACGAAATATTTTATAGTTTATGTAAAATTATGTCAAATTAAAGTATAATATATCTCGTAAACTATTTCCTTTTTGGCCATCTTACCTTTATAGTTTTTCACGCTAAATATTGCGAGAAACCGATTTATAAAAAAAAAATAAAATGGTTCTATTAAAAAAAAACAGAGTCGGATAGATGTACACTGAAATATAACGTGATGGGGTGATAATGACATCATATCCAGCTTGCTTCCTATATGTATACTCTACAACTTTTATTTGAACAATTATTTCCAACACCTATTGTTTACGAGTTATTCAGGTGTATTATTTTATTTCAGACATTCTGTGTGTATATACATATATATATAATTTTTTTCGTAGTGTTATAGCGATAAAATATTGTTCCGAGAGCTATTAAAAGAGAGGAAAAACATGAGAAAGAAAAAGTTACATTCAAAAAACAAAAAATTCAATTGTACGTTATTTGTTTAACTCTTAAATTTATTTTCTACTATTACTCTACTACTATTTTTCATTGCTAATTACATTTTTTTTATATAAGTAATGAGTGTCAATTAAATTGAGAGAAAAATCTGAGTTAAAATATATTTAGATGCGGGCAGCATATATATACGTATATAAGAAAAGCATTCCTTCCCATAACTCGGTTCCTTTATTACACAACATTAACGCTCGTCGCAGATGGCTAGGAAGAAATTAAAGAAATTTGCATAATCACGAAACTGTATTGTTACTCCCAACTTTGGTCAGATATTTTGCTAATCTACCGTTTAATTAAGCAAATACGCGAGTGTCTACGTTAGCAGATGTTCTATATGCATCTTTCCAATATTTCTTGTTACTTCGCTTGAGTAAATATATAACGAGCAACAATAATCTTTCTCTTCTTGCTTTTTTAGCTTTCTTCCGAGTGCAAGAATTAAAAAAAATATCATAAGAGAGAGGTAAAAGAAAATAAAATATACGAAATTGAAAAAAGTAACATCGCATATTTATCAATAATTGTTCAGCTTAAAGAAAACTTTGTGTTAGTGTTCGCTTTTGTGATAAATTTCGAGATAGAATATTAGTATAACTTGAGTAAGAGAAACGTAATAAATTGGCAGCATAATGGCAATGAAATTGATTTTCTTTGCCACAGAAAATTGCTACAAGACACGCAGGATAGACCTTTACGCTCTCGATTCGTCTGTGTCGCACCTAAATCACTCACTCGAGTCGATTGTAGAAAAGTACAAAGAAGTTTCGATTTGTAGATAGCAAATAATTTTAGAAACATTAATTCTCTTTTAGATAATAGAAATTATCAAGCAGAACATTTGTACTGTCTGTGCATATTACAAAATAATAGCACATGTTTTTTAAACAGTTTTCTCTAGCCTTTTCTCTTTTTCTCTTTAACGGTTTAGATTTCATTATTTAAATTCAAAATAATTTCTTATGGCTTTGTAGCAAATGTTATTTAGTTCTACATCATGGTTTAACATTTGTACTGTCTGTGTATATTACAAAATAGCACATGTTTTTTAAAAAGTTCTCTCTATTCTTTTCTTTTTTTCTCTTTAACGGATCAGATTTCATTATTCAAATTCAAAATAATTACTTATGGCTTTGTAGCAAATGTTATTTAGTTCTACATCATGGTTTAATTAATGAGCATGGTATGTTTAATATATTCTAAAAAAATAATGTGATAACAGCTGTGAGAAAGAGAGAGAGAGAGAGCAAAGTAAAAAAAAAGAATAAATTATCTATGTATATATATCTTTTTATATTCCGCTATATAAAATCCAATAATAAAATTTGCTTTATAATATGTAATATACATATACATCCCGCTTGTTTTTGAAACAGAGCGTGAAGAAAAATGTATTGCGATTTTTAGAAACTATGTTCTATTACATATTGACGTGAGAGAATATGCGAGATATAAATATTCCTGATTCTACCACGTTTTCAATTTTATTTCTGTCACATAAGCGACGCAGAGATGAATACGCAAATGCATAAGGATGGTCACGAGAGGTTAGACGGCTTCAATATATCGAAACAGCTAGAAAACGGGACAACGAGTTGTAGTAAGCACAATAAAACGTTCCCAACTTCATCTGGCCTGCCATGCCACCGAAGCTCGCGTCCCACCGCTTTTCGATTATAAACTGCTAGACGAGCGCAGCAAACGACGTAAGCATCGTCGATTTTGCTGGCGCATGTAAATCGATAGACACCGAAAAAATTGCAAAAAATTCGGCCGAGATGGAAAAGAGGAAGAGCACGGAGAGAATGGGGACAGCGATGAAAAAATTGTTAACGCCTATCGTAGCGCCGACATTTCGAACGAACGGACAATCACGGTGGGCGTGAGCTTTTCCGGAAGCTCGATTAAAAATACCTATAAAGCCAGATGAATAATATCGATCACTAGCAATCCAATTGGATTCCGCAAAGATAGTTTCGTTACTTATACGTATACTCAAAATTTCTTCTATTAACTGTGCATTCAAAAAAATATACAATATTTTCTTTTTGAAATGCTTTTGCTAACTAAAACACGCATATAATTGCATATCTAAAAATACAATTATTTTAATAAATGTCTAAAAAAGTTAGACGTTATGAAAAGAAAATTGTTAAAATAAAAAATCAACAATATCTTTATATAAATATTTTACATGATTAGAAAGAGACTGCATTATTAATTTAATATTTATTAATTTATTTATGATTTGCATATTATATATATAATTTTCTTTTTAACTTGATGTAAAATATTAAAATAAGTATTAAATATGAAGAAATTAGAGATGTTGTTTTGGAAAAAAGAAGAATAGTGATAATATAAATGCAATGGTGTATTAATGAAGTTTAATATAATGCACATATCGTCAAAATCGCAGAGTCTGGGAATGACCAATCGCTTCTATCTCTATTCGCATTCCTTTTGTCCGACGCGTTCACACATAGATTCCACCCTTTGCCACTCATTCCTCCGCTCTTCGGAACTCGGCGAGGCGGGTGGAGGGACGCAGATAACGGTTTTAATTCCGTGCGAATAGATCGACGTGCGAAAAAACGGTTGGGAGAATCGTCGGAGAGGCGGATTGATGGACTGCTGGGAACAATGGTTAACTTCGGAAGTAATCGCTTAATTCCTGAATTCTAGCTAGCTTCTATCGCCTGGTTAGATCCCGTATTGCATACTTTCCGGATCTTGCTGTTTCTCTTCCTTTTCCCTTCTAACTTATGTTACTATGCACATTTTTTTATCCTTTCACGCATATGGATGAATTATTCTTTTCCTTAACCAAAACTGAGCAAGAAATTCTCTTATATCATTATTTATTATAATTTCATCAATTCGATGTGTGTGATATATTTTTATTATTTACTTTTAATATATATATATAAATTTAAGAGTAAAAGTTTTATTAGAATTTGTGCACATTAATTTCGGAAATGCAATATTCATAATTTTAACAACAAAATACATGTAGCGGGTTTGCATTTTAAATGAAATTTTGAATGTAGACGTCTTATGAATAACTTAGAGGTCGAGCGTAATCACAGTGATTTCCCACATGACATGCCAGAGCGCGAGACTTCTTTTTTTTTTCTCCCTTTACTTTCACCCTACTAGTCTCGTGGTACGCGGCAATAAAAGGGTCCACTCAAACTAAAGTAGAACGAAGTAAACAATAGCATCCGGTGCAACGAATAGCCGCTTTGCCGGTCGGTTCTTTTGCCATATAAAACTTTCGTTGCGGCAGCGACGGTTCTCGCACTTGCGAGAAACTTTTCTAAAAGCGTTGAAATTATCGACAAAGAAAGACAATGATTTGTTCTACTTCCACTTCGTTCGTCGGCCGATGCCGTTTTGCCTGCCGAAACTCATTAACCGCAAAAAGTACCCAAATTAAATCAAGTTTTAAGAATACAAAGAGTACCATTGCAACATTTCATTGCACATTTGATATCATGAAAGAAATAATTATACAATGAGTTATTATGTAAAGAATTTTCTAGACATAATTTTTATAAAATAAGCAATGATGTATATTTATCAAAAATACACTACTTTAATTTCCGATAACGGATAATAAGTCCGAAAATATGTCGCATAATACTATGTAATATATATAATATATAATATATTTTATATATTAATATATAATATATTTTACATTTAATTTATTTAAAAAAATATAATATATACAGAGAGAGAAAGTTATGCGAATATATATCAATTGTGAACTATGTATGTACTTACGAGCTCTGTATCTATGCCAGCACCATCCCGGATGTTTTCATGATCGGCACCAGCACCATTGACCATCCCAGCACCTGAGCCGGTACTACTCGCGCCTGCTTTCCCACCAGCACCACCGGCTGGTGTTTGTGGTAAACTCTGAAAAATAAAAAAAAGAAATTATTTTTAAGTGAATGTAATTTACATGTACACACATATGTGTTTTTCATAAAATAAATTATTGTTCGCGTAAAATAAAAATATAGTAACATAGTGGCTTGCAATATCATTCGCTTTAGTCTCGCTACATCATATCTACATTTGAAAATAATTTTATTTTCCGATGAAGCATCTATTGAATTTACATTGCCGTTGGGAGTTCGATAACGCGACGGTGCTCGATTTGTTTCCCGTCGAAATCCGCACTGAAATCTCTTGCCTCAATTTCGCCTCAACGATATCGTTCCTTTTACTCGCAACGTCTTGCAGCTTTCTTCGAACTCTTCCTCGAGGCGTTCTATAGCGAGCAAAGCTACGATTCGCCGCGAGCGCTGGCTTTTACGAGGGGATTAGGCGGTGTAAAGGATGGTCGTAAAGGGAAATTTCGCCGAACGTATTTGCTCCGATCGTCCTGTGTGACCGGAGCGAGAAAAATAGCCACCGAGACAAAGCAATTTGTATGCACTGGGGAAATGTGCAACGTGCGACAACATTATGTACTACCGACTTTACCCCATTTCGTATTAATGGAACGGGAATCTCTCTGTGTGTCGGCGGGGGCTCAACGAAAGGATTACGATGCGGTCTTTAAATCAATTTCGCCAACGTGATAGAACTCCTTGAGTTCCCGACATCAGGATTGATCGCCTGCCATTCGCGTCCTGGATAAGGGCGAAACATCGCGAAAACTTTCCACGTAACATCCAGTTGACGAGCGCTCTCAATGACAGGCGGTAATTTTTGAATAATCTACCCAGGCGTACGTCTCCCGCGAGATAAAATGTGCGATATTATTTCCTGAATAAGATTGATTCAATTTTTTTTTTTTAACCACGCCTATCCATCCGGAAATTTGTTACGTGCTAAGGTGATGCTTTCCTATTTCGCATTTCAAACAGATGTCGATACTAAGAGATATCAATCTTTGTATTGACAATTTATAATGCATCATTTTATTATATTTTATATAATAAAACTTTAACTGATAAATACACTTTTACTTAATCTCATAAATATATTACGATAGTTTTATTACAATATATAATAAACTAAATTCTTTAAAAAATTTAAATTATTATTTAAATTCTTAACTATAATAATCACATACATAATATAACGATTCGCCACAAGTACCGTGCTTTTGCTTTTATTAGTCTCATTCTTCTTTTTCCTTTTTGCGTCATAAAGTGATTATTCCTCTTCTTTTTTTAAATTAAAAGCATAAATGCACACTTTCTTCAAAGATTTTAAATAAAAAAGTAAAATTTATATAATCAATAAATAATGCATGTTGATATTATTATTAATCGCAATTTATAATTTGAAAGCCAAAACAAAAAAGTAAGTGCTATCTAAAAAAAAAAAAAAAAAAATTTTATCCTTTTTTGAAAAAAAAGTTGCATTAAGAATGCTTTTGAGATTAAACTGGCTAATCGATGAACTAATATTACATGTTACTCTCCTCTAATGTGTATATAATACGCGCTTTGTACGTCAAAGTGGCATGGGTGAGATCGCGAGTAAACAGGGAATAAGGACATTCTTCGTCAGACGAGCTCTGAAAGGGAGAGATCCAAGTTAAGATTAACTATTGCCGCCCCCTTTCGACTCTATCATTTCCCGTCGGTATCGTCGTGTTTCGTGTATTGGTAATAGTGCAAAGTGCTCTTCTCGAAGTAATAGCAGCCCGAAGACGACCCTTTAAGCGACGTTCAGCACTTTACGACCGCTCTTTATAAGGACACCTTACTCTCTGAAGCGCGCGCACCGCCAGCGTTTCTCATCTTTCTCAACACTTCCGCGAAACGATTCACTTCCGCGTGACTTCGGAAAAAAAGTGGCTGAAGTGTATACAAGGCGGAAATTCTTCCAAGAGGCATTTGCTGCGACCGTAGCGTTTTTATTTTCATAATCGATAAAACGGTGATTAAAGAAAAAATAATTTCCATTTCCTGATCGATCTTGCAGCTGCCTGACGTACAGGTGCTCTCGTTAAAGTCTATCTAATAAGTCTCGACCTGTCAATTCAATTTTAATAAAATATTTTTACAGTTACGTTGATTGATAAAAAATAAAAAAATTGTGCAACAAGTATTATGTACTTAATATAGGTATATTATGTACCTAATATATATAAAGTATTTATATAATTCATTTTCTTATATTTAAGCCTTTCATGCTTTTTGCATTATCATTTCGTAACTATTATTTATTTTTTTTGCTCTAAAAATAGAAAAGAAAAAGACGTGTATTATTAATTACTAGTATTAAAATAGTTGGCATTACTATGAAATATGTGACGTAGTGTCCGCTGTCCAAGTAGTGCTCTGTAATGCTTACTAATGCCCAAGCAATGCCTACTAATGCTCACTCTCTTCAAGTAATGCCCATTAAAACCAAAGCAATGCCTAGTAATGCCCTCAACCTATGCATCACAATGTCCTGAGCGGTAATTTCCGTTTTTTAATTGATCTGGCAAATTCAAAGCGCAGACATTCTCGTTAATTTCAACAATAAATTTTAGATTTTCAATTATACGATGTTGTGATGACGTTGTTGAATTAAACTGTTTTGAGATAATTCATACCATAAATTACAACAATATCCGCCTCGTTATTATAACAATTCCGTTCATTAATTTTATATTCTTTCATTCTTTATTTTTTGATTTTATCACTTGGCACACAATTTTCAAATTTTCTAGAACAATTCTCGGATAGTGAGATAAGATCGTAACGAAACTAGCTTCTACGCGACATCTTATATCGGCGTAAACTATCTCGCCCGTACCGGCTATATCGATGAGCAAAGAACGGAAAAAAAAGGATAGCGTTTCGCAGTCACCGAGTGCGCCTGAGAATTCTTCCATAATAAAACTGTATTTTCTCCCAAAGACCGTAAAGTGCATCATAAAAGAGCAACTAACGCGGTTCCGAGAGTTCGTGCGCAGTTGAAAGTGCAAAGGAGACGTATTTGCGAAATAGAACGTGGCGTGAATAAAAGGCTGACAAAGGATATTGATATCCAAAGAAAATAGCCTATTGAATAGTCATTAAGTTTCACATTTTAAGGTAGTAAAAAATCATGAAAAAATAGATAATATATAGAAGAATGTTAAAGTAATCGACTCGGCATATACGCTATTTAAATTATCATCAATTTATATTCTTATAAATTATAAAATTTATGATTGATAATATAAACTTTAAATCGATGTTTTGCTAAGAAAAAGTCATTTACAATTAATTATTTATTTTTCCAAAATTTGTTGCTAAAAAAACATTTTTTTTTATATATGTTATATATATTTTATATATTTAAAAAATGCTTTTTGACACAATTATAATATACATTTTTGCGTAAATATCACCATCTATTTCGCTACTATTTAAAGGCAATTATTCAAATTTATTCTGTTCATTTATAAACACTTATTGATATCTCGCTATTGATGTCTGATTATTCGTTGACTCGAACTACTGTGTATGAATTTCACGTCCTGAAAGGCAACTCGTGTCAGAATACATTTCAGAATATTTCTTTACACATCGTACTGATCACAAAATGTCAATACGTATAATTCGCTACAATACCATAGCGCAGATATATGTATATATAGCAGCATATACATATATCATTTCTTAAAATAATGTCAAACAGATTTTAGTAGTAGGTCATAAAAATGAAAGAAATACGATGTCTTTCGTGGCATCACAACTAAATTATAAATAAAGATTGTCGAAATTGTAACGAAAATAAAGTAAATGTGAGTTTACAAAGCGTTTTGTTGGAAAAGCTCTAACTAACAATAAAATTGAAAATATTGCGCATTTTATATCTTTTTACATTCGAGTAGAGCAAGACAGTTTTCGTCATATATTTTTTAAGAATATGCGCAAGAGCTTTTGCAGTGAGGTGACATGCACATGTGGAAATGTTTAATTTATCGTACTTCATAAATCTCGATTTTATTGTTTTAGAGGGTTCAATATTTGGTGCGAACGAAAAGGTGACGCAAGTGCCGTAAATCTCGTTTACGTCGCGAGCTGGGAAACGCGCACGAGAGGCGCGTCGCATTTTATTTCGAGCATAAACGCTCAGCTTTATTTTGATCAAAAGAGTTTTATTCATTGTGCAACCAGTCAAGTGTAGATAGTAAAGGAAGGAAGACTTTGTGTAAAAATCGACTTTTTTGATTATTATTAATCATATTATTGATTTTTTAATATCTTGGAGTATTTAAGCTGAAAAACGATATTTTGTCAAGATTTATTTTCGTAGTTCAAAAGGCTTTGCTCATGAGAAGTGAAGAAGTGTAAGTGCGCGCGTGAGCACCGAGGGCACCGACAAAGGGCGTGGAGGTGCTAGCTACAGTAAAGGCGAGTAAAATGTGAGAGAGTATGGGAGGTGCTGAGAGGAAGGGCGATATTACAGAGTCGGAATGCTTAGCTGTTATTACTCGAGAAACTCAGGAATTTCTCCATTATTTAAGACAGCCCAATACGTGTTCCGACAAAAGATAAAATATTTTGTCTATGACGCAAAATAGACGAATAAATATTATACGATGAAACTAGTAATCAATAAAATAAAAAAATCGGTGGAAAAAAAAATAATTATATTTTGTTTTTAATTCGACAAATCAATTAAAAAAATTTATTGACTTGACATTAGTATTTGAAGGATATGTGCGGGAACAAAGAGACTATTAATATATGATATTTTCTTCTCAAATAATTTAAGCAAATCTATCTCTCAATCTCAATTCGAGCAATAGTTAATACAAAGTCTTATTTTTCAGAAAATGAAAAATGATATATTTGCATTTTTTTATTATTAAAAATAATGGAACTTGCACTATATCTACATAGAACTTGCACTATATCTGTATGATATTGTCGGAGACTTGGAGACTAGAATAAGGAATTTTGATTACGTGA